TTTTTTTTTAAACTAACTTTTTCTGAAGTCGGATGACTCCCGGCTGGCCACTTTGGAGTACGTATATCTGGAGAAAGGTTAGGTTGTTTAACTGGCTGGTTTATGTTCAAAGGGAGGGTAAGGAAAACCTGAAAATGAGCAAAGCCCTTTGTTTACAGTACACTTTAAAAGTTGATTTCATTTCCATTTCCATTCATTTTTCTTAATCACCTATGAAACAGGTACATTGGCCCTATTTTAAACCTGAAGAATCTGAGGCTCACAGTTCTAAAATATGGGAGCCAAGATACCCAACTCCTTCAGTCTTTTTTCCACTGTAGTCCACACTCAGTTCCTTTCTCAAGAATTTCCTTTTCCTTCTTCCCCACAATTTTGCATGGGAAAATATATTGATCCATCTTGACTTCAGAAAGTTCATTTAGGTCCTTCTTTTGGTATTTAATGGTTTTCTGCAAGTCAGTGAAAGAGGGTGGAGAATGGGGAATCTCCCCTAGAGGAGGCAGGTCAGAATATTCTAAGGAGGGAGGGTAGTGATGGGAGTGTTTTTGTGCCTGGAAACAGTGGAAGCAGGAAAAAAAAAAAAAAAAAAAGGCTGAGAACCACTGCTTTGAAGTGAGAATAAATTTTTGAAGTGAGAATAAATTGGACAGTTGAGCAAAGAAGCAAACCTAGTGATTTCCTCTGTAACAGAGTTTTTTCCTCTTTTGGTGGAGCAGTTTTTATGATGCTCCAGAGAACAGACCATCCACGAATAAGGGGAGAAAGTTCTTTATGCTGAGAGGAGCCCTTTGTCTTTACCTTACTGCCTCTGGGCAGTAACTAAAAGCCATGCCCTGAGCTGAGAGCTACTAAGCAACAGAGGATAGTGACAGAATGTTACTCAACATGGATTGGAGATGACCTTTTCCAAGCAACATTCCCAGTTTACAAAGTTTTACAGGAAAGACTCTTGTGAGATGGGAAAAAGCCTTTGGCATTCTTCCAAAATTGTTTTCCAGTCCCTACCTTCTCTGCCTGGAAGAATAATGGAATGGTGCAGGCAGATCTAAATGTATGCAAACAGACAGTCTTGAAAATTTGAGACCAAATCATTCCTTCCTTCCTTCCTTCCTTTTTTTCTCTCTCTTTCTTTCTTTCCTCCTCCCCTCTCTCTTTCTTTCTTTCTTTTTGATGGACTCTTGCTCTGTTGCCAGGCTGGAGTGCAGTGGCACGATCTCAGCTCACTGCAACCTCTGCCTCCCAGGTTCAAGTGATTCTCCTGCCTCAGCCTCCCGAGTAGCTAGGA